ACACACACACACACACACACACACACACACACAGAGAACATAATGGCATTCATTGAACCTCACTTCCTCCTCCGGCTGAGGGGAGGAATTATGTTTCTGCCATAATGAGAGTTCGGAAGGACAAATAAAGTCTTTCTTTCAGATTTTTTGCCGTTTCTGGATTGGCGGTTGCTGAAGTTCTGGTTTGATAGAATTCGGGTTGTGCTTTTTGTCAGTTACAGACATCACAGTGACAGCTGGTTGAGGAGATGTGGGAGGCTAAGCCAAGGCAAGAGTTATGTTGTTGCAGTTCTGCTGCTCACCACTAGAGGTGGGTAAAAGTCATAAATGACTCGTTCAGAGGCTTCTCTTTTCTCAATTCTACCGATCACAAACTTCTTGCCAAACAGAGCGTTTATTTTGGACAATCCTGAAAGACCCTAGATTATGTTAAACAAAAATGACAACATATTTCTACAACTGCTTGAACATATTTCTTTCCATTATATAAACGATACACAACTTTCTTCATCATTTGTATTTGACGTAAATTGTGTCCTGCAAACAAAATTGCCAAGAGAGGAGTTAAATGAAAAAATTAGGAATGTTTTGGTTGAGTCCCTCCAGCTCTCACCAACTGTGCTTGTAACAGGAGTTGTTTGATGTTTATCTTCTACGCGGTGCAAAATCATGCAGCTCTAAGATCAACTGTCTTAAAGCTGTTCGCTTCCACACAATCAATCATGTCTTAGAGCGGTCATTCTGAAAGACTGGGTCGGTTTTATTAAGCTATTCAAGATGATATAAGGTGATGTGGAAATGGCAGATAAAATGGTCGGGTATGTTCTCTCTTCTCAGGATTTACAGATGAGGCCTGCTGTGAATTGGGTCCTGTGGTTTGTCTTAATTGGAGCATAGCCTACTGTATTTCAAGTGAAACATCAAGCAATTAGCAGAGTAATAGGCCTATGTTGTGATGTTTGTTTTATGTCCAAAGCATTTTCATTCCAAACTACATTTCCCCCTCAAGTAGGAGTAACAAGACTACAGTAGAGTCATGCTAGCAGCTCTGTGAGGCTGTACTGAGACGTCAGCAAGCTAACATGCTCACAGCGACAATGCTAACAAGCTGGTGTTCAGCAGGTAATGCTCACCACGTTCGCTATCTTAGTTTAGCGTGTTAGCATGCTAACAGTTGCTAATTAGCACAAACCACATAGTACAGCTGAGGCTGATGGGAAATAGTTTTAATTATATTACAATTCATCCTGAGGGGAACATGAACGTCTGAACCAAATTATATGTCAATCGATTAAAAAGTGGTGGACCAACCCCCAGAGTGGTGCTCCTAGCTTGGCTGTTTGTTTGCTATATGGTTCAGTACCAATTTGCATGAAATATGTAAATATGAATATGTGAATGACTGCTGAAGTTGTTCTTTTTTTAGTTGTACTAACAATGTTCAGATAAACTAAACCAGCCACTGATTTTGTCACATATTGTACACTATAACAAATGTGACTTGTATCAAGTTTATTTTCATGAAATTTCATGTAATGTCATGTAATGTCAGCAAATGGCTTTGTGAAAGGGAAAATGGATTTAATAATTTGAAATACTACCACAACAACACTGCATTAATATATTATAATAATGATATATAGTATATTCTGTATGTAATTTATAACATAGTTAAAAAAACCTTGTTCTTAATGATTTTGTATCCTCTTGATAAATTGAATTCATTGGTTGTTAAAAACACATTCAACGTAAAGAGTAGTGTGATGTTCAGAGTTTATGTTTTACGCAGCAGCCTCGCTGTCCTGCTTTGTGCTTTTAATGGGATCCACTTTAGGAGTTTCCTGTGCTGATTCCCCCTGAACTGAGACATTCCAGTAACAGACTGGTAAGATGAGCGGCCAAACCAGTCACTGAGTGCTTTCCTGGAAACATCCAGCTGCTGCAGCACTACCACAGTTCTTTACTGTGGCGACCTTCTGAGGTGACTCATGACAATTTTAGCTGCGTTATCTCATAATACATTTCAGATTAAAGCTTCACGCTTTTGCAATGGCTCTCAGCCACAATTGAATATATATATATATATATATATATATATATATATATATATATATGTAACTGTCCCTATGTGTGTATCTTGAACAGATTCATTTGATTCATTTGTAATTTATTTCTGAGGCTGATTTCATCTCATCCCATTCAGTTCATCTCCTCATCTAAATCAATAGAGATATGAATCAGCCCTGTGTGGTCTGCAGGGGGGAAATCCATTTCTATGGGAGGAGATACGAGATCCTCACTGGGCCAACGTGTGTGTGTGTGTGTGTGCGTGTGTGTGTGTTTGTGAGAGCGGTGAAATACGACCCAGGGTGTCTGGGGTCCATCCATTTCCAGCTGCGGCTGCTGAAGGCACTGTGTCAGCCTATCATATCGCCTAATGACTCTGAAGTCATCACTTACCTCATCCTGACATCAGGTATTGATTGGCTGACTGAGAGAGGGGTGATGGATGGAGAGATACGGAGGACGGACAGACGGACGGACAGCTGAAGACAGGGCTAATCTCATTAAATAATGTGTTCATTACATATGACTCCCACAGTGGTCTTTGAATTCAATAATCAGCATTATAGATCATAAAGTGTGCTGTGTTTTCACTGTCCAGTCCGTCATGGCTGCATCCTGTTCACTGGACAGGGGTGGAGGATTCCAGATGTTGACTATGGACGTATTAAAAGATACCCCACTGATTTATTATCGCACTCTTTTAAGGTTGTCGGACTCACGATGGATAGTTTAAAAAAAGTAACAAAATGGATGCAGTACATGCTTTTACCTTCCTTTTCTGGTACCTACACTACCCACAATGCAACTCGACCACCGACAGTATCTAACAGCTAACAAGAGTTAAAGTTAAAGTTAGTAAGTTACAGTTAAATCAAGTTAATCTCATGTCTCTTAGGTTGAAACACGCTGGTTTCACTGCAGGTCAAAGGTCACTGAATGATTGGTGAAACACTTCCGCTTCCTTCAGACAGAGAGCAAGCATTGTGTGCCACAAGTTTCAATGTTTGTATGTTTATTGATGGTAAAAATGAAAAAGAATGAGCATGAGAGATTACCATGCAGGTGAGTTCACGAGAGAAAAAAATGTATTTGCAAACTGATTAGTCAAAACAAAGATCGTTTCTTTGGAAACAGGTGCTCTGAACTTTTCAGTCTTGCTTTTCAACCCCTAAAAGTCTTATTTCCATCCATTTAAACAGTAAAAGAACAACACAGGACGCATACTAAACAAATATTGGTCTGATTGACCTTACGTTCTTGGACCACGGATCTCCACATGCAGTGGATCGGTGAACAAGAACGTGCAAAAGGAGCTTTTGTTCTAGTTATGGTCGGTTTTTTTTCACATAAAGGGATAGTTTGGATGTTTATAGGCTGGTTGTATGAGGTTCTTCTCCATAGTCAGTGTTTTACTGCAGTAGATGAGTTTACAGAAACAGACAGGAGCACCAGCACGGGAGTAAAGAAATGTACTACTGTGGACGTATTTTAGACACCTGAAAATATTATTATTTTTGCTTCTTTACCTTGCGGTCAGACAGACCTTTCTGACGGGAAACTGAAGCCGTTATCTGTGATCTCTTCAAAGACGCTTGACTCCTTTGACAAAAACGCTCATTTTCCCTTGCAGAACACAGGAGTTGCTGTTCTACCTCCGTTAGTTTGTGAATCCCAACTAACCCCTAAACAAGACCTAAAAAACCTCCTGGTTAGCATGAAGACTGATGTCATCCATCTTATCTTCCTGTCTCCTAACATTAGCCAGGAGCATGCTGAGTAGTGGAGCAGCCTAGGTCCTGACTGGGTTAGCTTAGCTTCCACCGCTGCTCCCCCTTCTGGGGCGGCCGACTCCTAAATGCTTGACTATGACACAATAATTCATATGCTTATTATGACAATTTCACACAAATGTCTAAAAGGATGAAATGATGAAGTGATCACATTTTGGACAAACATGGATGTAAACTGCAACTTGACTGGTTGGCAAATTCAGTTTTCACATACAGTCTATATTTTTGATTTTTTTAACTGAATGTATTTTCTAGTAATTGGTTTAATGGAGATTTCTGTTGGGAGTCAATACAGCATGAAAATATGATGTCACTAGTCATGGATGTATGTTATAGTCCCTGTGTGTGTGCATTTGTGTGTATGTGTGTGTGTGTGTGTGTGCTACTCCTCCTGCTCTCCTTTTCACCCCGCTGTCTAATGACCTACCACCCCCCTCCCACTCTCCCCTCCCCCTCACCATCGAGGCCTGCGTGTGAGGAACGTGGAGGTATGGAGGGGGAGGGGAGGAGCAGGTCCACCACAGATCTGTGGATCATCCACATCACTGAACACACACACAGACAGGGGAGGGGGCTCTGAGGTCATCAGGAAGGCTACATGCTATTGGTCAGCTGGGAGGTCATGGATCTGTGTGAGCAGAGATGTCTGCCTGTCTTTATTCCTTTGCTTTCCTTCCTTCTTTCCTTCCTCACTCGGGCTGAAGTCAATCCCAGCATTCATTGGAACACAGTGTTAGCTCACTCACAGACACACATCTCTGGAGAAATGTGCTTCTGCAGTCCAGCTGACACCTGACATGTATTTAGATGGACAGATTCAGCAGTGGGTCATGAATAAAAGAAATAAAAAGTCCCAACGAGTAAAACCATTCTGAGAAAATTAACTCAAATATTTGAACGTGTAAAAATAAATCGGAATAGAAAGATTTAATTTCCAAGTCCAAAAGGAGATCTGTAGATGTGCATGACATTCTGTGAACAAATGAAAGAGATTTATAGGTTTTCAGTTACTTAACAGGTTTTCACTTCCATGTGTTTGAGGGTGAAGAACGTTCACACAGAACTCAGCTGTGTGTGTGCGTGTGTGTGTGTGTGTGTGTGTGTGTGTGTGTGTGTGTGTGTGTGTG